TTTCTGTAAAACAAAGAGAAACCATAAAGCAGTGATTCTCAACAAGGATGCCACGGCACCCTGGAAAGCCTTCAGATCTTTCCAAGGGCATCATGGGGTGCCATGCAATGCTGGCACTGTTGGGTGTGCCAACACGATTCACAAGCGAAACCCAGAGATTCCAAACAGGACCGTGCGCGCCTGCTCTGCTCTTTCTGCATTCTCTGCAACAAAAGAATCACTATATTATTATTCTATAGTCAAAAAAAGGAATGAAAACAAAGAGCTGGAATTTTCCAAGGGGTCCCTTGAGTCTAAAAAGGTTGAGAACGCTGCCATAAAGGTTTGACTTGTTCAGGATGCAAATACAACCAGGAAGCGAGCATCAGGTAGAGAGCTATCTAAGCAGAAGGAAAGTGTTGGCTCAATAACACGATGGTACTGCTAAATAAGAGCCATGAATAAATTTAGAGTAGAAATTAGATGGAATATGCGTCGGGAGGAAGAGAAACAAAATAACTAGCTTTAAGACAGTGTTTTATGATCTGTTGAACAGGAGTATATTACACGGTTGTCTGCAACAGCAGGGTATTGGTCCCTATAACCCAGGATTCAACAATCCAGTCTTATGTTCTTGACACAGTGAAAAAAGTTATGAGCGATCAAAAAGTAAAATTCAGGTGAAAGCTTTTCAACCCTAAACATATTGTAACAACTGCTCCCATTAGAACAATACTATTAAATTGAGCTATAATAAATTTAAAAAAACAAAAAACAAAAACAAAAAAAAACACTCTCCCAGTTCAAACTGAGTAAGAAGATTCTCCTACACTAACACAACATTAATCCATTTGGAGTTTAACATACACAAAGTAAGTACTCTATGCCCCACTGGGGCATCCTCTAGTGTGATCTGAAGTCAGTGAAGACGGAGCTTTCATCTTTCAGGTGCGCTCTAAATTCAGGGCAAAAAAACTTCAGATGCCAAATATTTTGCTCCGTTTTTTAAGGAATTTTGGCTATTGGGCGAAATCCTGGTCTAGTGAAGTCAATGACAAAATTCTGCCTGAATTCAATAAAATTAGAATTTCACCGTTTCATTCTATAAATGAATTGGTCTCGAGAAAATTATTTAGCCTACAGTATTATGTCTATACATGAGAGAATTATGGTAGAAGATGCCCTCTGTTTCACAGAAGGAATTTGAAATGATGGATTAATGAGATGCCAAGCCTTGACTCTTGATAGGGAGAGGAATTCTCTCTTTCCAGATTATTTACAAGATCATTTCCAAGTCGGCTGATCATTTAAACAGATTTACAGAACTGTTTTCTAAATAACACTACTATTTCCATGTGGTGAAAAGATGCTAAGAATATCTTTCCTTGGACAACTGCTTCAGATGAGACAGGATATCATAAGAGGATCTCTGAGATCTCTTCCCTCATTTTCACAAATACTTTTGAGATACAAAGGCACAGTCAGAGAGAGAACATGTTGCTACAAATATGTGGGTAATATGGGGAGCTGTAGGCATCACAAGTGGTATCTGCTAGTGGGAATAAGCTACATCCTGCAGGTCCAGCAACTCAGTGCTGTCTATGAAGGATAATTTTTGAAGCAACATTTCTCTGTGAATTCCCTCAGCCATTTTAAATTCATATTTAACTAGTCTCATTGTTTACAAATCACTAAAAGTATTTCTTTATTTTTCACATATTTTAAGTTGAAGCGTCATGTCACAGTTTGCAAAGTAAAAGATAAAAACTGCCTTGTGGGAATCCATAAAGGCATGTATTTTTTGTTTATAGTTAAAAAATAATTTAATTTTCATTGTTAAAACAACATAGTAGCCATATCTGTTTTAAATAAATTCTACATATTTTTTCAGATTGTGCAAGAGAAGAAGATAATTAAAATGACAAAATACTCAGATTACTAATTGGATATTGAATATTGTTGTGAACAATATTCATTTACAAGAGTTTAAAGGCAATTAAATTTTCTCAAAATTTTATTACTAACAGTTCTTCATCAGCAATTAATACATTAAAAATCTGCAGTCATTTAAGCACGCAGATAAGGTTAACTGGTATAATTATTACTTTTGTCTGTAGGCTTGTGGTCACACAATGGGCTTGGGGAAAGCAGCATCTTGAAAGCAAAAGATAAAGCATACTGCTATTAATGTATCCTCGCTAAAACTAAGAACTAAAAAATACTGATTCTAAATAAAGGGAGGGAGGTGCAAGGACAGCATCTGGCATACAACCTATTTAAAATCTTTTGAATAGCTCAAAGAAGGGAACTTCATAATCTACATGAAAGTCACATTTATCAGGTTGTTTGTTTTTTTTTTAAATATAGGACCAATGTTATTAGCAACTACATTGACTGAATGGAGCCATTCTCACTTATATCAAAGTTCATTTTGGTCTACAGAGCCCAACCTTTAAATGTGGCCTGTTTATAAAGACATTCAAACTAGAGTTTAGGCAAGGAGACTCCCAACTGATACACTTTAGCATGAAACAAATGTTTTTAATATCCAATTGAGAACCTCATGAGTATATCCATTACTTTTCTACTGTGAAAAGAGAATTTTCCTGCTGTATAACTTTTATGTTAAAAATTGTGACTTTAAGAAAATGATCAAAATTAATTCAAGTAATTTCCTGTACTGTAAGAGTATCAGTATGAACAGGATATGCACACAAGCAAACCCCACTAAGTGACAAATATTCAAGGTAAGTTAATACTGCATTGTAGTTGAAATGTAAGAAAAATAAAAGTAAAGAAATTAAAGTTATGAGCCCACAGATTCCTGAACTACATCATATTACATGTACATAACTACCAATAAGGCTAAGTGAAAGGCATGAAAAAGTCTGAGACTGAATCAACTCAATCTTCACAGGTTAGTATAAGCTGGTTTCTGATCACTGATACCAGCTTGTGTGTAATGTCTGTCCCAAGCCCAGAAGTTTAGTGCACATAAGCCACTTTCAAAATGCCCAAAACTAGTGAAGATAAACCTAGATGGATGTAGTATCAGACTTAACTGATTTAAGTTAAATCGGTTTACTGAACTTCTGGCCCAGATCCCCTCCAGATTTAAGTCAACTCAGTGCCCCATCATCCCATGATGCTTTGCACCTCCCCTGCAAATTCCCCCTCGCAGGGTGGGTGGACTAGCAAACAAACAGTCTGCTCCAGCCGAGCAGGGAGGCATACTCTAACATGCCCGAACTTCTGGCCTGGGCCACTGTAGGCATGTGGTTGCATTTCCAGAATCCAAAGTGAATATCTGTTCACTTGCTTATCAGTTCAATTTACACAGCTTTGATTAACCTGTGAAGACTGAATCGATTCAGCCTCGGGCTTTTTCACTGTCTGTACTTAGCCCTGCCGTGTTACAGATTTGAACTGGTTTCTGATCACTTACACTGGTTTACATGTAATTTCTGTCCCTGGCCTAGAAGACTTGACTAAGTTAACCAGATGACAACCCAGACCAGTAAAATGGACCACAGTCCAAAACAACAGCTGCTGTGGCCAACCTGCTGTTTCAGAATATCCATTCGTGATTGATCAGACATTGTGTATAAAAACATCAGCAAAATCCATATTTACTCCACCTTTTACTAGTCTCTCCTTCTGGCCATCAAGAAAGTTATTACTTCTTTCAGAAATCAACTCATGATTCAGCAGCAGAACTAACTCTTCCCACTAAGGACTGCCTGATACAATAATGTTCTCTCTCTCTAGCAAACAGATTGGTACTTTTATTATTAAGTCTGGTCTTGCATCATTTGTTTCTTTTTTATTATTATTTTTCTTTTCTCTTTTCTGCATCCTAATGAATACTCTGGCATGATTTCCAAGTGTGTACACCATGAAATCAAACAGGCCATAATAGCAGCCCTAAACCTTATTTAACTGCTTCTTGTTTGACAATGACATGTCATCATGTTAACACCTTTTTGATTCCATGGGCTCACTTACTCCATCTAAATTAATGCAACATCTATACCTTCCCAAACATTTCCTTAAAACAGAATAGAAAGCAAACTTAATTGAGATTAATTGTATCTGAAAAATGCACATAAGGCTAAATTAGAAATGCACACAAATGAGAGCCATGTGTATAATTATCCACAGGGAGAGGATTTCAATGCGTTTGCCTCATTTTCTGTTCAAGTTCACTGCATTCAATTTTAATGTATATGCTTTAAAACAACTTTACAATCGTTCCATTTTCAAAACAAAAAGAATCTCTGATTATAAAAAGTAGAAAATATTGCAAAGGTGTCAAAATCATCCAGCCCCACAGATCCCAGAGTAGCTAGAATGGGCCCTGTGTGTGGCACAGTCTGGCCAGAGCAGTACCCGCACTGCACACAGTGCCTGCCCTGCCAGACTGCACCACAGGTAGCATCAGCCCAAGCAGCTCTGGAACCGCGCTGCATGCGCACCTGCTCCAGCCAGTCCAGAACCTGGGCTGCACATGGCCTGACCAACTGGAGCAGCATCATGTTGAAAGATTTTTGTTTAACTTTGTCTGCACTTAGACATCCCGGGCAGAACTGACCTTGTAAAAGTATTAAATAAGAAGAGGTGAGCCAAGAGTAAAAACGTCAGACTCAGGTCATTTGAAAAACTTTAGTACAACCTTTTCATACAATTATTTATAAATATTGGTGAAAAAATTCAAGGAAGCATCATTGAAAGATGACAACAGCTTGTATGCAATGAAATTTCTAAAATTAAAAACATTATGGAAACCCAGACCTATATTAAACAATCACCACTGAGCACAGTTCCCCAGTGAACAAGATGACAATTACCTAGAGGGGAAAAAAACATTTCATAAAAAAAAAGAATAAAACTAGATGAAAACACTATTAGGCTCTTTTTTCTTTTTCTTTTTTTTTAGTTTTTTATTTTGTGTAATCAGCATATGTAAAGGTACCCCATTTCTCAAATTAGGAAACAGGAAGTAAGGGTATGTTCATTCCTACCTGTTTTCCAAACAAATTGATGATCTTTCCTGGCTTCCAAAACAGCTGTTTGTAATATTAAGAGAGCAAATAAAAGCAAAAACTTCCTCATGCTCTGCCATGCCCAATGAGCAGAAACCCAGTTTTCTCTTAGAAACATACTTCAGCTAATTCAGTGTCTTCTCTTCTCTAGTCCTAGAATTGAGAGAAAAGAAAAGAAATTAGTTGTTTGCTAAAATACATACAGACATACATACTCATACATATATCTACATATATGTACATACATAGATATAGTTCTTCTGGTAACTAATCCACAAAGGATTCATCTGTTACAGGCATTTCAAAGGTTCATGCTCAAACTATAGAAAAGTCAGGCTTTTAGCTCCCAGAGGTTCAAATCCTAGGTATTACTGACAATAGTGGATATCATAAAACCCTTTGGTAAACTTTAAAAGAGATCTGCCGGTGCAAACGAGTCTCTCTCTGAGTCAAAGAGGTCTACGTGAGAATTCTGTACAACTCATTTTATCTGTTCAGTCTGTTTACTGCTAACATACACATGACCAGGGTATTCCATGCGTTACAGACAGCTAAACCACGGTTGGAGTCGGATGCAAATGGCTAAATTCAGTTCTAAACACAGATCCCAATTCCTACGAATTTGAATACTGAGATAAAATGTTTGCAATATGAGCTCATCTCTACATACTTTATAAATAGTTTATAGTGAAAACTGGCATTAAAACTAGAATTGACTGTGAAACTTGCACCAAAATTGTTTTGATTTTGTTTTTCTTTGTTTTTTAACAAGACTATGACAATTTGTTAAAACCAAAGCCTTCTGCAGGAACCTAGAGCCATTTATGACCAAAAAGTCACTCAAACTTTGGATAGAATTTTTAATCAATATCAGAGACACATCCCAACCCCAATCCCAGACAACCTAAAAGTTTGAGCACTCATAAGAGACCTATGTTAAATTCGATGTTCTTCCTCACTTTGGCCAGACAAGCAGCTATTCTGAGGTTGGACTCACTCATGCTTTGCTGTTAGAACGCAGACTGAAACTTGCTCACATATATTCTGGTGGGCAAGGCTATAGAAATCATCTCAAAACTCTCTTGTTGGAGATCTTCCACTTTGAATAAATGCTTAAAATATTTATTAGGCCACAGAGTACCCCAAATCATTCACCAGTGGGATGTGACAGACCCAAATTCAAAGTCCTGCTCCAATATGTAATAAAGTTGTATGTACAAAGTGAAATGGCTCCAAACTAGAGCGATTCAGATATACCCAATTCAGAATAGCCTAGTGTCACTGACCATAAATCTGCATTCAGATCAGGGACTTAAATCTCAACCAACAGTGCCCTAATAACCAGGCTATCCTAAGAGTGTTTCTCTCATTTTTTCAAAAAAAAAAAAAAAAAAATCAAAGATCTTAGGTTCATCAAAGTACAAAACTCAAAAATTTTCAAAATCTGAAAAACTTTCACTGAACAGGAAAAACATTTTCCATTCCCATTCACTGGATGAGAAAACCATTTCCCATACAGCTCTACTCATAAATAAAAACAAATGTCTAATCTGAAGGTAAAATTAAAGTTTACCCTATGTGTATTTCTTCTCCTAAAAGATTGGCTTTTATATTTAGATTACATTAAGATTACCTACACACCTATATCTATCACTGGTCATTTCTCCCAAATTCCTTAGACCTAAATCTCCCATCTGAACAGGGCAAGCAGAAGAACTGGATTCTTGTGCAACAGATAATTTTAATGAAAATTACCAAAATGATGACAGTAATCAGATATTAAGGTTCAATTCTGAAATTCCATTACATTTCCAACCTTATAAAAGCAGCATTATAGCACATAATACACAGCATAGTTCTTGATAAGGAGTCAGAGATAAACCTGAAAACATGTATAGTGGATATACAGCAAAACTTTTAATTTGAAGATTTATTTAAATTATTCTGAAACATTTTCTATCACGATAAACTCATGCAATTATATTTAATCAGATATTGACTAACTGCAGTAGAAGATATAATATTATATCTGCTATCTAGTATAGTTCCTTTTTATATTTTAGCTGCATAGCAAATTGCAAAACCTGAAAAGTTGTCAAATTGACCCAGCTGAATAATGCAGGCAATGAAAGTAGTTGCTTCCATTTCCCCAAGTTTTCTGGGTTAAATTTATAACATACAGTTTCAAGTTGAATTCAGGATGCAAAGCTTGTTTTGAAAGCAGAAAAAAAATAGTAGTAAACCCCCCTCTCTTTACCTACAGCTAAGTCTTGAAACATATGAGGTCACATAAAGAACCAGAGCAGCTTTAAGCAAGCTTGGTGCTGAGCTAATCAATCCCAACAGTCAGGCCTAGTGTAGAAGTGAGGTATAAGGACTCTGAATTTTATTCCTTGGAAGAAGGGTGTGGGTTCAATGCAATGCATTGGGGAAAACCTTAGGAGAGACAGTGACATAAAGCCAGTGACCCCCAATCTTCACTGGCTCATGAACAACAGTACTGAACAAGTAAGACCTTGTGGACAACATACTTTACTCTTCCTGGTAACCTCAGTTTTAAGTCACATTTCCTGTCGCTGTGAGCAATAGTAAAGGGTCTCGGGCAAAAGGCTGCCTGCAAGACACAGACTGGTACCTGCTGCACTAGGTCATACTACAATTAACTCTATATCTGTCACCTATATGGACAAATCCCAACCTCCCACAGTGATGGTGAGATGGGATGTTTCCCCTAATCTCATTCCCAGCATTGTGGCCACCACATATGACAGCAAATGGAATCCTAGACTCCCCGCGCGGAGGAAGGCAAGGCAGTTTAGCAGCACCTATCATGCTTAACTTCAAAATTGCAAGACTTTACATACACATGTATATTAATGTACAGTATTAAAGTACGTTCTGGATCAAAACCAGAAGGCTCAGCATCTTACAGGATCATGTCTTATGCAGGCGCGATCCTAATGAACTCCTAGGTCCAAGTAGCGTTCCAATTACAGGGAACTCAGTCAAACTCTCTACATAGTGAAACTGAATAAAGTCAGGCTAGGGCCTTCAGTGAAATATCTTCTAGTAGAAAGGTAAAGACTAGCACAGGTAGATCAAAGGAAAGCTCATACCACAGTATTTCACTATCCAAGTTTCTTGCTGAAAGAAAAGTTGTGCTAATCAGTTACCATCTGAATATCACTTCCTCCAACTCAGAATTTAAAAAGTCAGTGGATGGCAATAACTCCCCAAAAGCAACAGATTCCTGCCAAACATGGAAGCTTGTTAGTTCCCTGGACCAGGCTTCAAGCCTAACGTTCTCCAAGGAGCAAGTAGAGAGATTAAAATAAAAATGCTAAAAATCAAGAATAAATTAACACACTCTGAGCCTAATTCCAATCTTACCACCACTAGCACAACTCTATTGGATTTCAAGAATCTACATCAGAGTAAATGATGAGAATTTGTCCTTATACCTCAGTTTGTATAGCACAATTTGGAAGATTAGCACTTCTATTCTGATATGATAAAAATAAATTATTGCACAGGCAACCACAGCTACAGAAATAAATTACATAATGAAGGTCATCAACATTTCACATCAAATTTTACCTACTGTATGTGTAAGTATGCTTAACTGTAAATTGGTAAATACAAAGCAAAAAACAGTTCTGTAGCTCATATTTAAAACTGACTTGCACATAAATTAAAACCATGCACATATTTATGTGTTTGCAGGATAGTAACTTTACCTTGAAAATACTCTTATTTTTTTTAAACTATTATTATCCAGACTTATTCAACATACTTTATGTCATCTGCATGTCTGAGTACCTTTCTTGTACAAAATTCCTATGCAACTGTGACAAAACTGACAGTTCTCAAATCTGAGAATGAAATCCATCTCCAACACAAGGTGGTGAAATTCTGCAAATATACATAAGTAAATTTCCTATGAAATTAAGATCACAAGATGCCTCATTGTTATACTTTTATGTTTGAAGGGTTACTTCTGGAATGTACACTTGCAATTTGTCTTTATGTTAAAGATCAGTCACCAGAGAGTTAATAAAATTAAATATAACTGCATCTTAAAAGCATGCCTTATATTAAAAGTAGAAAATCATATTTTCTTTTCAATGTCTGTGAAATAAATACCAGCCCGATTTGGGCAATCCCTACATAGATGGATAAGTGATTAAGAGGCTGTTGTGTAACCTGCCCTCTCAGCAGCCACTCAGACAAGCAGGATAAAGGTACTTATGTATCTTGACCAGAAGCCGAGTATTCAGACTTTCTCCTTTGAGGGGCAGATATATCTCAACAGCAAAGAGGGTATGGTACTGGCCCAGAGGAGTATTAGCCCCCTAGCAGACATTACATTTATCACGTTATACATAAAACATTGTAATATGCTGCACATTAAAACAACTGAGAGATAAAAATGGCCAACAAGCCATAAAGATGTCCTGCGTTTAATTTGGAACATCTTTGTAGCTAGTTTGTATTGCGCTTTAATTTGAACATGTGACATGATAGCTTAAAGGAAACCTGGGGATCCTGATTCAGGAGGCATTGGGTAAGCTGGCTGCAAACCCATTTCAATTTCCCAGCATTCAGGGAGTCTGTCTCTAATGTCAGGCTCCCTGGATGCTACCAAGTTCAAAGGGGCACTTGGGCAGCCCAGGATTGATAAACTGGTCTCTGATGCCAAGCTCCCCATTGGCTGGCATGGTTAAAAGTCTCATGCACAGCTATGTTGAACACAGGCCTTTTAAAAGGCTGAGCACTGTAAGGCCTGTCCCGAAAAGGGTTCTAGGAGGAGGCCAAGCTGGCATCCCAGGGCGGGGGTCAGTTTGGAGAACCCAAAGAGATGGGGAGCAGGAGTGAAGGTATAAAAGTCATAAGAACTAGGCCCCGGGTGGAATCACTTCAGGAAAGGACAAGGCTGAGGACCTGATGAAAGAGACAGTCTCGCCACCCTGGACGCAGGGTGGGGTTCCCGAGACAAGTCAAGAAATGACTTAGGACAGGGTGGGGAATGCCTTTCCTCACACCTGATGTACTAGCAGTTTTGTAAGCCCTGGTATTGAGTTGCTGCCATTAAACCATTTTGCTGTTACTCGCAATAAAAGTTATACTTGTTGCTTTGACCCTGGCGTGCAACT